TACTACATACGGCTTTTTTGCTAATATACGGCCAATCTTGGAGTAGGCCACTTGTTTATTAATCCAAAGTTTAGTTAGAGTTTAGTTAATATTTTTATATTCTTACGTTCAGACCACAAGTGGTTGGTCTCTGTATTCCGAAGTCCGGAAATCATTGTAAAGAGAGAAAAATAAAGGGTTTCGTATACCCTTCCTGTGTGTATTGTCTACCTCCCAAATTTATTGAACATAGCTTTAGTAAGCTCCCTGTTCTGAGTCAGGACATTTAATGTTCCCAAAGTAAGTAAGGAAAAAAACACAACCTGATACCTTTATTTATTAAAAATCATGTTCTACGTACAGAAACTATAAAATTCAGTTCAACAGCACTATCGCAAATTAATTTTAAAAGGATCATACCTTTAGAATTGTTGATCGAGAGTCTGATACATACATGCTCATAGTCTATGGAAGATTACATTATTCAAATTATGATGGCTCTAGGTACCATTGTTTCATCAGAGTAGAAGAAACACGCACACATTTATGCAGATTCATCATTATTTAAGTTTTTTTAAATATAATGCAGGGTGATGATATATGGTGGCAACAATTTGAAAAGTGGTACAGACTTTTAAAGTTTTCAATGCCAAAACGAAATAAATAGTCCTCCAGGGCAAATTGCCTCTTTGGCCTAAAAAAAGCTTTAAAATAAAGACAACAGTGAGCAAAATGCGAAAATTTATCACCGATCTTTAGATCAGAGTTATGACAGAATGCAATGTGGAGCGAAATTTAAAGCGTACTGAAATTTCGGAAGATGCTTAATATAGAATTCTCAGTTTAATTATGACAATTATATAAATTGGCAAACAAGGGACTTTCTTGGTTTAAAATACAGTACAATTCCCTACCACCTCAAACTTCTCTTACCTTCCGAAAATAAGTTTCACCCTATGTGACAATTTAGCGGTCATATTTGTCAGCCTAGTGCTGCATCGGTTATGCAGATACTGCTCGAAGCCCTGCCAAATCTCACCACATTTTCCTAGAACGTGATACATGAGTGTACGACATTATGGATTGTACGACTTTATGGATCTTACGCACGTACGGCTTTATGGATCTTAATCATCTGTACTGTTCTACAATACATTACTGAACAATACGGGGGTTCTGCCTTGGTTTGGACAGCTGACTTTTTGCCCCAGAGATCCATTAGAGTTAAATTTAACAAGACCTATTGGATCCTTTTAGACTGGGACAGTGCGTTCGTCAGGGATCAATCTGAAGCCCTACTTTATTTTTCCTCTTTTTGTCCGTGTAGACAAAAGGAAACCAAAATTTGTTGATATTGCTCTCTTTGCTGAAGATGTTGTTCTTTGGCATTCAAGCATAGATGTGAGTAACATCGATACGATCCATTACACCACTTTAGTAGCACTCTCTGAGTTTGCAACAGAACATAAATTGACTTCCAATCGAGCTAAATCAATAGTGACCTTTTTTACTACTAAAAAACACATTTATAACTACAAACCAAAGTTGTATTTAAGCTCAGCCACTCACGTATGAAAATCATCCCAAATATCTAGAATTCATCCATGATCCTGAATTCAATAGCAACAGACATATAGACTATTTGGTTTCGAAGGCCCGTATGCGTCTAAATATTTTTAAATACATAGCTGGCAGAGATTGGGAAGCTGATGCAAACACTCTTAGAACTACATATGTTGCGCTAATAACACCTATTCTAGAATTTGGCTACCCAATTTATTCCTGCGCTTCTGAAATTAATCTTCAAAAATTAGAACGTATACAACTGAGTGCCGCTCGAATTATTCTTGGACTCAGAAATAACTCCGTTCTGGTATAGGCCTGTTCGAGACCAACTTTTAGCCACTGCATATTAGAAGAAGAGCCAAGTATTTTAATAAAATATAGAGTTACGTTCACCAACATCTTACTTCGTTGTAGCTCCATACTTGGCACAACAATCAAAGACTCAAGAAATACAGCCCTTTTAGCATGGCAGAAACTCAGAACCTGATCTCTCGGGGGCTGTACCCCTACCTCTAAGATCCTTTATTAAACTCTCAGTGGAACTAACGAGAGTTTTCTTCCACTTTGATCTGAAATCCGCTGCAAACAAGCAAAATCGCCATGAAGACCTTCTTAGGCAATTGGCTCTGGAAATTATCAGTTGCATTCCTCCTAAAGATGCAGTGCAGGTCTATACTGATGGTAGTCGTACAGAAGATCGTACTGGCAGTAGTATCCTTATTAAGACCCCTCACTTCGAAACTACAATAAAGCAACGCAACCCTGACACTTGCTCTGTCTTCAGAAGCGCTATAATTGCGATTAATGTGGGGCTTGATGCCATCTTGGCTTACGATTGTGATTTTGGGGAACTATGGATTTTATCGGACACTCTCAGTGCACTACAACATCTAGGTGGTTGGTCGTCCGTATGATAAAACCAGCATATCTGTTCTGCTCAAACTGAGGAAGATCCCTCAGACCCACGACGTCCACCTCCAGTGGATTCCATCACATGTTAATACTAGTGGTAATGAGGTCGCTGATATACCGGCAAAAGAGAGTAGTGAAAATGAAACGGCCACTGGCTCCTCACTTACTTACCAAGAACTTTACTCAAATGAAAGATCTGAACTTAATATAATATGGCGTATTCCACCTACGCACCAATGGTACACAGGAACATCCCCTGTCTCCCTACTGGAAATCAAATGTGACCGTGGCTCCCAGACTGATTTGGTTAGAATAACAGGTGGCCATCTTAAATATCTTTCCTCTGATAGTGGCAGAAAAATCCACCCCGATCAGGATTCCAAGATCAGTTCCACACAGTGAGGCATTTCGCTTACAACTATCCATAAATCTCAAATTTAGATGCAAAAGAATTTCATGTACTTGTTACCAAGATATGTTTCATGTAATGTTGTCAGTATGTTTCATGTAATTGTCACTAATGTGAGAATCTACATAAGATTATTAGGTTTTATCTTGCTTTGGACAAACGATTGAGCATATTCTTAAATAATCTGTGAACACATTCTTAAATAATGTGTTCACAGATTTCGCCGCTTATCAACCGCTTGGAAAGCTTTTCTAGGAGTTGAAGATAGGCAAAGAATAGAAGAGGAGCACGACTTTCTTTCAATGTGAATTCTGTTTAGTAAGACCTTATCGTTATTATCGTGTTTTTACTTTTGTTTTTACACCCGAATGCAATTTCTGTGCTTTACAGCAGATTTAAGCAAATATTTCGTGGAAGTTAGTTAAAAGTTCTGATCTTTCAGGAAGTGAATCTCAGTTTGATTATGAGACCCAATTTGAACGGGTCGGTGCAAGATAATTGCGCAGGTATGTCAGTCTTACAACTCTAAATAAAATTTTCAAATTGTATTAATTATTGTAAATACTTAAAAATGCTTTTAAAAGTTTCTGAATAGTAATTAAGCCGAAGTGCTAAATATTCCTGTGAAGGTACGTAAGTCGTCTCTGAAAGGGAACATGGAAACACATTTTAGCATCCCATGTACATATTACACACAACAATACTTCTGCAGCTTAGGATTTGGAGGTTATGGATAGCGTAGCAGAATTTCAATAAAATAAGTTAGAGCTATCAGAATCTTGGTAGAGGTAATTTAAGGAAGAACTTTAATATATAAATCTAATACGTATTTACATCGAACATATAATAAAGAAGAAATATAACGCAGTTAATCCGTTCAACTTCTTTAAGCAGAATCGGCTTCGAATTACCACTTTTTTCAAACTTCAGCCTTCACTTAGCTACTCATTGAGTTTTGGTCTTAATTGTATGTGGCCTTTAGTTATAGTATATCTTATACTCTATAAGAATAGATTCTTCTTCATGTTTCTTCTTCACGAATTGGAAATACCCATCATTCAGCTATCACAAATTCGGTAATCATATAATATTTCTATTACCAAAAAAATGGGAACGTATCTACAGAGGGAGCAAAATATGATTGGAAAATCTTCAATTTTCTTTTTAGTTAATGCTGCTAATTATATAGTATGAAAAACGTTACAGTATAAAGTTATATAATAATAGTTATAGTGAAAAACGATATGGCAAAGTATTTTGTGTTTGAAATTATGTAGAGGTTACGAATATAGTGTAATAAGTAATTACTTCATTTTTATTACTGTTTATTATCCAAGACACATGTTTTTGTTCTCATGGCATAATCCTAACAATGGCACATATTGCAATAATATGTCCTTTTAAATTCTTGTGTAGTAAATTTTAGAGAAATTTGAAAAAGAAATGTATGCTGGATTAGCAGAACTGGCAGTTGTAAAATCATTTTATGTGGAAATTACAGATCCATGCATCTTTAGATCTCATTGTTCTGTATTGCATTGTGAGAACAGAGTAAAAAGCTTTGTAAAATATTTTGCACAAAGGTGCCGATAGTCTCATTGTCAGCTCATACTCACAAATATAGAAGATATCGAAAAAGCGATTTTGATATTTTATTCTAAGGAAATCAACTTGCTTACAATTTTACAACTGTTTATTAATTTTTATATATAACTAGGTGTACCCGCCCGGCGTTGCCCGTGCATTTAGAAAATGCAGATAAGTGAATAGCGCAGGAATAGTAGTGTAGGACATGTAGACTGTCTCTCTCTCTTCCCCCCCACAAGCTACAAAAAAGAAATGAATTGTAATTAATCGATTTAATTGTATCGTCAAAAACAGCAACTAACGCTAGAATAAAGAAATCAATTGTTACAATCGAACGTTATTTGAAAAACAAATAATAATATCAGTGAGTCAAAAAACCGTGATTAATTAATTATAAATAATTTTTTTTTAATTTTTCTAATTCAAAAATCGAAAATCGGGCTTCGAGGTCTGGTGGCCAGCCCCTTTGTGCTTCCGTATAAAAAATTCCAGGTCCCTGCGTGCGATAGATTTGGCTGGAGAGCTCGGTCAGACAGACAGACAGACACATTACACTTGCTTTTATTATTATAGATATGCTATGGTTGCAACTAAGGTGAATTCAGTGTAGTAGCATTTTCAACAAGTATACCAAAACAGTAAGAAAACGCTGATATGAGTTATTTGGCATTCCTACCAAATCTGGCATTTATCGTTTCTATTCATGAATTGATTCGGTGCACAGTTAAAATCCTTGGAAAACTCTTCGAGGTTGGATATTTGTCCATTTAACCTGAAATAGGAGAAACATAATTACAATCTGCTTGAATAAGGATTGTTAGAATATTGCGTGAACAATTTTTTATTTTTCTTTTTTAATTGTCATTTTATTGTCAAATGCATTACCTATCTAACAGATGTATGAAGTACTCGGGAAAAGGATTTTAAGGGGTGTTGGAGACCCCTATACCGACAATGTTAGATTTTATTCATTTTCGATGTACCTTTTCTAAAAATCTGCTGTAGATACAAGCTTGAAATTTTTTGTGTAATCAAAGTATGGTATACTATATGGTAACAAAGTATGGTATATATATCTATACTTGCATGAGATTTTGAAAGTTTTTGAATTTAAAGTAATTTACAGAATATTTTGTTCATAGTAAAATTTAGCATTTTTCTCACACAAAAACTTTTAAAATAATTATCCTCTAGTTTATTACAAAAAGCTCATTTCAGTAACTATAAGGAAACGTAATAAATAAGCCATAAAATTTTAGATACCTGTGTGCAGCACCTCTTGAGAAAAGGTACATTGAGTATAAAAAGATCACGTTTGGAGAAAAACGCGTTTATATGTAAAAATCCTCATTTATCAAAGCATTCAATGAAAAATTGAAACTAGGTTTTTTACAGTTCTAATCTTCATAGAGATTAAAAAATGGTGTTTTTAGAAAGCTAAAAGTGTAGAGACTTTGAAAATGCAAACATCCGCAAACACCATTTCTTGAAGATTTTTGGCTTCCAGGCGATGTACACTGCGCAAAAAAATGGGGCAGTTCTATATCGTCCGTTCTACTGGGCCGATTGACAGAATTCAACTTGTATTTTTCATGTCTCGAAAGCACGAGCTAGGATATGTATTAGATTTATATATAACACTGTTCTAACGTAGGTATTTTGACATATAATCGGACTTTTTCTGAAATGACATGCCAATTTTTCCATATTTCGATTCTACGACTCAAATTACGCCAAAATATCAAGTTTTGTAAAAATCGCACGAGTTTTTAAAACATTAGCTCTCAAAATTTTAGCTCATCAAAGTTAATTCAATTTGGTATATATTCATTAATATGTCTTTTTTTATTAAACTTATTTGATTTCTTCTTACATAGTTCGAAATTTAGGTTCATTCCAAAAAACATTCCCCCATTTTGAAGATCATTTTAAAAATTTGTATTTTTAAATAATTTTACTAAATTTTTCGAGAAAAATTTTGAACTAATAAAATTTTTACAATTATTTTAAAGTAGATATATTTTTAAGCATACATACAAAAAATTAGAGGTTTTTATTCAAAATTTACGAAGATATAAGTAAGTTTATATATTGGCGCATTTTGAAATTTGGTATATTTGTTGAAAGCGATAATAATGAAAATGTGGTTTATGCACTTTGTCAAAATTATTTGAAAGTAAGAAAGATGTCACATTTTTTCCGTCGAAATTTAATACCTATGCATAATTTCAATTGTAGAATTAAGATATGGAAAAGAAAATTGGTATGTTATTTCAGAAAAAGTCCGATTTTGTATCAAAATGCCTATGTTAGAACAATGCTATATATAACTCTAATATATATCTTAAGTCGCGCTTTCGAAATATGAAAAATGCAATTTGAATTTTGTCAATCGGCCCAGTAGAACGGAAGATATAGAACTGTTTTTTTTTTCCCGCAGTGTACATGTTGCTTATTAATACGCACATTTAAAAAATATGAAACATATTCGTTAAAACAAGTAATATATTTACTTTAATTTTATTTAAATTATACGGCTTAAAATTATTAAGAAACACTGTGTCTTTTAAGAAATAAAGAGGTGAAATATTTGCATTATAATGAAAATTTAAACTAAAGATTAAATTTCAACACAGACAAAGATAACAGGAGCCATTGGTGTATTTCAAATTTTGATTTGAATAACTGGATTAGGTTTTAAAATGCTACAAACGTAAGACGAAGACCGGAATAGGAAATTAGGGCTTGCAACATCAGGAGAGGAAATCAGAATTATATCACTAAAAACCAAACGAAAAAGGAATATGGACGCACACTTCTACAGTTCGAATTTCGGAAAATATATTGCACGAATAATTCTGAAATCAAACTATTCAAATGCGACTGTATACTGTTAATCTATATATTATTTGAGAACTATTATATGCGAGACATTGCAATTGCTGTTTTATCACGCAGATTACAGGAGTGAGAATACTCGTATTTCGGTATGAGAAGCAAATATTCCAATATGAGAAGCAAATATGAGCGGAACAATGGTCATTTCGTAGGCACGTCTGGCTTATTTTGACGCTTTGATAACGGTGACAAGTGATCGAAAAGGGAGGCTCTGGTACAGTGCTACCAAAACTAGAGAAATAATGATCCCATACCCCCTACCACCTGAAATGTGTTAAATAGTTATTTGACACAGTTGTCAAAGATAAGGCCGGAAGCATGCTGTATTAAGTATATTAATGTCCTTAGAAATATTGGCGTAAGAGGCATAGATGCTCATATTAGACTGTTGCACAAATATCTTGACCATATTGAGAAAAAGTGTCCACGATCCTAAATATCACTATTGTCCTGGAGCACTTAGAGCTACTCGGTTGTATCGTCAAGTCATTGACGGTCTTAAATTGAAAAAATGCCAAGTGTACCTTTGGAGTGACTCGTCTGTAGTTCTGACATAGATGAAAAAAGATTCCCACTGGAGTGTTTTCGTGGCAAACCGTGTAACTGAAATAAGGAGCTGCACAAATCCGAACGACTGGGCATTATGTACCAAGCTCAAGCAATCCAGCTGATCTTCCCTCTAGAGGTGTGATGCCAAAATGTTGCTTCAGAGCAGATGGTTGGAGATGCCAGATTGGCTTAAACAAGAGCCGGATAAATGTCCTGTCTCTGAAGAGGCAGAACTAGAAACTGATGAACTGAATAGAGAATATGGTGCGATTTCCTAAAATTGCAAGGTGGGAGGATGGTAAGGAACGTACACGAACTCAATTAATACACTATAATTTAATATATTCATTATAATGTACATCTTCTATGGCAACAGTAATGTACCAAGCTGTACAGACAGCATAAGAGAGATAATAAAAGAACTGAGCTCATCGAGCAGGGTGTGCTCATCGATCAGAATGGGTATATATATATATATATATATATATATACCCATTCTGATATATATACCCATTGATATATGTACATATATATACTTTTGATGCTGCCGATATCAAGCAAAAGGGGAGGGACGCATCTACAAGTTATGGCAGTCCCGTATACATGTCTATATATAAGGCTTAGAGATCCTTTTCATTTAACACGCATATGCAGTACGTTCATCGACTTACATCAAGAAGATTCAGACTGTATTTAGTGTTCAGGGCCATATGGTTAGGTATTAGTTGGAGTTTCCAAGCTTATCCATATAATGTCCCTGTGATATGAATCCACGAAACAACTCCTTTTTTGTGTAAGTTAACGGTCGATTTGTAGAAGGCTAAAGCATCATGTGGATTTATGTCGCTGTTAATGGTCTTACTGACACATTGGAGAACTGTTGTTCTGACGTGAGTGGCAGAATGTCACTTTACTTTAAATACAATCATTACCACCATTCTCAGAGATATGTCAGAAGACATCATTTCAAATTCAGCAACCACTGAGCATAAGAATGAATGTACGAAAGTGTAGTTTTAAAAATACATGATAAAAATATTTATGCATAAATACAACAGCATTAAATAAAATCATTCTTTAGGTACTTCTGAAATGTTAAATATTAAACGTAAGAGTAAAAATGTATTTCAAATGGAGAGTTCTCAAATTGCCTAATTTCTCAAATTGCCTAATTTAATTGGATAAAGTAATATATCCAGTTGAGTTTCCGTCCTGACATTATAAATTTTGTACATTATATTCATGTTCTTATATACAGAAACTCTTAGTATGCAATTTAACATTGAAGGTCGGAAAGTGTATAAATATCTAGTAAAATTTCATTAAAATTAGAATATTTGTCAAAAATTTGAATTGATGGAAGGAAGCATTTATTAAAATGAACTTTGCACATATATCAAAATGTAATACAAGATTTGTTTGAAATGCATAAAGTTAAAATAAAATGAAATATAATTTCAATTGTAAGGATTAAACAAAACTGAAAGTTCTTTTAAAATACCTTTAAGTATTTTATTTATTTATGTTAAAACCTTTCTTACTCAGTATGTTAACATATGCATGCAAAATTTCACTTCTGTATGACAACTATAAAAAAATATATTTCAAGGTCAACTGTCCTCTTAACATGATTAATTTAAGGGATTTTTTTTTTTACTGTTAATAGCAATGTTTATTTTCAGTTGTATATCCTGAAATTATTCTACATTCAGTTTAATAAAAGTTTAGCTGATGGTGTTTCTCCTTGCATATTTAATGCATCAGTGGCTCATATAGTATTTCAGCCTCCAAATCATTCCAGTATAAGTAACTTATATCATTAAGAATAACATCCATTCATTGTTTTGAGGAGGGAAGGAACATTCATATTTAAGTTACCTTGCCTCTGGCAGAAAGTACTGTCCATTGCTGCCCCCTTTCATAATATAATCTAGATTTGCTTCCCCACAGAGTGCCTGAAATAGATGAAAATGATTTGTAAATTATTATACTTACATTAAAAATGTCTGGAGTGGACACCACATGACTTCCTTGCACGGCCAATTAAATTATGCACACTTTTTGATGCATTTCATTTAAACGTATTTCCAAGAATTACATTAGAAATATATTTCTCATTTTCCTCAGAAAAAAAAAAAAAAAAAAAAACTCAAAACATCTTAATTAAAAATTGTAAAATACAGAAAAACCTAAAACATCAAACAGAGTTAAAAAAAGGTTGAAAAACCATTTTTGTAAATTAAAATTCGAGTTTAAATTATTTAAAATTAGGTAGAAAGATTTTTCGGTGCACCATACTTTTAGCTCCGCTCGACATGAAGACACTGAAGTTGGTGCAGAAACTGCTGTAATTCACTGTGCTTCTAACTTTAAATGTAAATGAATGGCTATGTTGTTAGGCTTAGTGAAACTTAAACAACTTTAAAATTGCAGATAATTCTACAACTCTTGCAAACAGATAAATTAAAGGCAGAAAAATCTTAACCGGAACACAAGAACAATATAATTCAATCCCTTTCAAAGCAAAAAATGCACAATTTGCTAATATATAAGAGTAAAAAACGTAGCTCACCGAGCCGGGTCACAGAGTGTGTAAATAGGTTCATATATTTATAACCCTTTGGTACGGCCAATTGCAACCAAAAAAGGAGGTGCACAGATACATGTTATAGCAGTCCCATATACAAAATTTCAACATCCTGAAGCTACGTGTTTTGGAATTATGGGAGATACGTACATACGAACGCACGTATAGACGTTACGAAAATTATCTCTTCTGAATCCATTTTAATTCCATTTCGCACCCGTTTTGGAAAAAAGAGTCATGTCTTGTGTTTTTAGATGCAGATGTAACGCAAAAACATCATTCAAATGGAATCGTGAGCGTTCAAAATGGAATTTTCGTTGAACTACAATACCCGAAAGTTCTCGCGATTACAATATTTCCTTTACTTTGTACAAGGAAATATAAAAGAACAAAAAGAGAAAAAGATTCTTATCATACACTATTGGCATCTATTAACCTCCAGAGAGATATCAAAAATCAATAACATGCATACACAACGTAAATGCACAAAACTTACTCTGTTTAAAATTAGAAAACGTTTTTTTTATTATTAAAGTGACTATTAGTATTATTATATTGTTTCTTTATTACATATTAATCTTTCTTCCGTTTCTAAAGAGATGTATGATGTTTCTAAAATTTATTTTTAAAATCCTTAAAATACTTCTTTAGGCGATTATTTTGCTTGAATCCTTTTGGAAATTCTTTATTCGAATTAAGTTCCAAATGAAAATTTAAATGCAACAGCGGTTTTTCATCTGCAGCTGTTGCACAAACAAAGGAATTTTGATTTTTAAAAATTGAACTTGAAATACATTTTTGTTTTTTCTTTTCCTGTCTTTGATCATCCTCGCGAAGCTTTAGAACATTTAAATATCAACACTCAGTTAATGAGCGCATGACGAATAATAAGAAGTATATTTACACAATGAACGGTAACAACATGATATTTTTCAAACATGTTTCAGCATCACTCTCTAGAAACTTAGTGTATTAGAAATGAGAAACCAGAAAGCAGAATGAATTTGGATAGCCGGAGTTTTATGCTGTTGACTTGTTTTTTAAATTCTGTTAAAGACTTGCAACGCGTGAACTGTATTGGATAAATATACACTGTTCATCAAAATTAAAAGAGTTTGAGAGAAATGAAACTTTTTGAAACATGATTGCCACAATTTACGCAAAACATTATTTAACATAAATAATCATGTTTTCAAATTGATCTGTTTGAAAACATTGAATTTAAATTCAAATTTATGAACATTTAATGGTGATTGAAAATCGATCTCTCTCTGGTAAAATGTCTGATCTCAAATTTACAACCACTGTAACCTCTGACAAAAATGCAAACCTCGTATCTCCATTTTATAGAATTTTCAATTGAAAATTTTCATTTGAAAATATATGTGGAGATGTACACCCCACTACTCAAGAGTGCATTTTATAAAAAATGCAGTTCGATTGCGAAAGTGAACGATATATGCTCTGAAGGTTGATGTCCGATGTCCGATGAGTAAGATGGTTAAGCCATTCCAGTGGCATCTCTGCTTTTAAGTATTCTAAGCATTAGAGAAATGGTCCATGCCTGGGAGATAGCGAAAAACTATCGGGCCAATAGTATTTACAAACACTCTTAGATCAAGCTATTAACACCTCAGCCACATATCTATGACCTGCTGCAGATCGTACGTCAATATTCAGTCCAGTGCGGGAGTGTTTCAAGGGTAAACTCCAAACAACCAAACCATTGCCGCGGAAATGGGCTTTTTCATTTCCAAGCAACATCCAAGCGAACTGATCCTTAGTTTCTCCAGGTCGAAACACTTCTGGAATCACAGTTCAAGCTATATGAGGATCCAATGTTAAATAGGACAGACTATCCTGTTAGTTCCTGAACATGACGAAGACATCAGCTTTAATGAGCTACTTGGGAAGATGTTGTAGTAGGGCACAAAACCATTGGCTTTCTTACACAACGTGAAACCTACTGAAGCATTCTCGCAGCTGTAGAATAATTGATCGAGTTCATAATGACAGCCTGAAAGTTACATATAATGATATATATATATATATAATAGTATATTATATATAACATATATATATATATATATATATATATATATACATAATTTATTTCCTAAACAATATTGATTAATTGATTATATTATCTCCTAAGTTTAATTAAAGTAGAATTATTTTAAAAGTGTGAATCCATACTGGTAAATTATATTTTGAAAGATGTTTTGAAGTAATTTGAAAGTAAAATGTTAATAATGTTTTAATGGGGACTGGAGTTAAACCATCATGAAGAATAAAATTTCAATTGTAAAAGGAAAAATTAAAACATGTAATCATTGTCATTGATCGGAAATTAGTTGACTTTTCAAGGGGAACAAACCAACTCCCGTTCAATGAACAATAATTGATAAAAATACGTAAATACGAAAGTGTTTCTTCTTTACTCGAGTTATAAGTTAAAGCCAAACCGGCAATTCTAGTCAGGCCAAATATTTCCGCGAATAGAAGGAATTATGAACCAATGCTGATACTCAAAGGACTTATTCTTATGAAGCATTTTAGTCAATTCAATTTGGAGTAAAAATCAATTACTGTAGAGAAATTCTATTTAATTCCAGTAAACGTCCCCGACACTTTCATGTTTATGCATTTGAGTACTATATTATTTGTAGAAATTAAACATTGGAAATTATCATTATGAAATCGAATTCAAAGTAATGTTGAAATAAACGTAGAAGATTACAAATTAAGATAAATAATGCAAACTTTGTAAAAACAAATCAAAGACAATATAAAAATAATATAGAAAATAATATAAATAAGATCAGTGAATGTACATGAAGATATACGGCCACAAATGGTATTAAGTAACTTACATTCTTTCTAGTGGGGTAGTTTGCAATGTGTTCTCTTCGTGTCTGACTCAGAAGTGTAGGGTGTCCGAAAATTCTTAGCGGCAGTAGGGGCTTTGAATAATATCAGTCGGTAAGACTTGGGTGAAGTAATTTATGGTAGTGGGTGGGACTTGGAATTCTTGAGGGATGTATTTTGTCGAGTTCTTATCTGAGAGAGAGACTGTCTGTTAAGATTTTTTTGAAATTACTAGTGAATGGAAATTAATTAATTTCTGGCTAATTGTCGTGTCGCAATGATTAAGAATTTAAGAAAGGAAAAAGGAATTTTCACTGTCCAAGAGCTGATAGACAGATATATAATTGAATAAGGTGATTTTTTAAACAAACATATATGCAAACAAAATATTAGCTTTTTCTTCGTACTATGAGAATAAAGATTATATTGAGTATCTTTAATTAATTGGTCTTTGTGTAAGAAAATTGTAAACATAAGATCCCACTGACATTGAAGGAGGTGAAAGGAGTTGAGATCTTTTACTTCCACAGAGAAAAGATTTTCTTGCCTACCTAATGTTGTCTATGATATTGATATTAAGAGGAGAAAGTAATGTATTTTACGCAAAAGCAGCGTGAAATTAATAATAGGAAAGAAACAGTTCGGGATATATAATTAAAGCCTTTACATGTGCCTCCAGTTTTGAGATAATATCTAGTTTTGGCACTTTTGTATAATTTATATATTATCACTAATATATTTCACGATTCTTTAATGATGCAATTGTTCAATAGCAAAATTCTCCCTTTATAATAGTATTGAAATGCTGTGCAAAACTAAATAACTATTTTCTAAATGTCATTTATTAAAACTTACACGTCCTGCACTTATCCAAAATAATTGATTCTGGTTATACTTTAATCCAGGCAGTTTTAAGTCGCCCCCGTGGTGTTTTACCCACGTTTGATAAGCCTAAACAAAAATGAAGGAAACAAATTTAAACAAGTATGAACACAAAACATAAAATAGATACACAAATATTGTTCTCAATTTTAATAAATGCAACTGACGATATGTTTTTGTAAGAAATCTGCATAGAATTTGACTATCGCATGATAATTAATAGCAAGGATTATTTCTAGCTATAGAATTGTTTTACTATTTTATGAAAAAACATGTTCTGCATATGCACGCCCCCTTCCTATTAGGAAAATGGAATATGCTTATCAGGACTTGTGCTTCTCTTGATTTGCTTTGGAAACATGGTGCGTCCTGAATAAGAACAGGGATCTTACTCAAGCTATGTTCAAGGTTTGTGTATAACAGACGACACAAGCAGGAAGGGTATACCAAACCCTTTATTTTCAATACTTTACAGGTACTTCTGAACTTCGGAATACAGAGACCAACCACTTGTGGTCCGAACGTAAGAATATAAAACTACTAACTAAAACTCTAACTAAAAAGCTAACTTTTATTTAGTATACAAATGCCTTAGCACTAAGACTGGCCTTTATTTAAAAGGACACGTATGTAGTACGCCGAGTTACTGAAACTACAATATGTTCTCAAATATCAAGAGGGCTAAACCTCCGGCCTTAAAGGCAACTAGCAACCGAGTGAAAACTCTTAATACTGCAGTGGCAAGCGGCCTGCTTCCTAAAACTCCTTCTCTCTCTCTCTAAGACTTGGCAAAAAGCCACAACTTAAATACTTGGGCGTTGGCAAGACAATTTGCATAAACAAGTTAAAGCATTTAATTCTGGCCGGAAGTAGAAAATAAGAAGTGATAGTACAGTTTTAAAATAAAATAAGCGTTAATAAAACTTAGGATCCTTACATGCTTTCCACAAGGACATGGCCTGGAACTGGGATATGGCAGGTCAGAGTACAGTAAGGGGGGATTTCAAATGATTACAAGTCACACTTAATTCTTAGTAGAGGCGATATTAACATTTGATTATTTCATCATGTTTTCTGTTATTATATTAGCAACTATTATTAAAAATTAACCAGTAATTATGTGGAAAATTGAGATATATAAAATGTCACACAACGTTAAGGTAAAGAACGCGTTAAACTTCAATGTAATTGCATTGAATTATTTGCGTCAGGGTTGTATGTGTGTAATTTATGCAGACTACAAGTAAACATATTAACTACACATTAAGTACTGAATCGTATTATAGTTTATGTTTTTCAAAAGCAATTAATCCTAAATATTTATTCCCGTAGCGGGTACTTAGCCGACTTAGGCTTCGAACCCTTGTCAGTCGGTATATTAGTATTCTCCTCTAATCACTCTACCGTCTGGACGGCAATCCTAAATATAAATATAAATGTATTTTTGCTATGGATTCTTGTTCGCTAAGTGTATAACTTAGCAAAATACTTTTATCTTTATTACACAGACGATAATTTTACACACCATTTGTTAATAAATTAATTAATAAAATTAAATTAAATTAATTAAATATGTAACGATCTGCAGTGCAACACGTAATGTCACTAGACCCCAGCCAGTCAAATCTGTAGAGATATAATGTTAGAAATAATCCAAAACCAGCCAATAACTGGCTGGGGTCTATTTTAATAGGGCAAGAAGTAAGATCTTTCATTCTAGTAAGACGCAAAGATGCCAGTCGTGTATAGAAAAAAAAATTCCCTCGCCTCTTCTCAGTATTATTCCGCCATTCCCGTCATTTATTTATTAGTAATTTGTTTGCAATCTCCTTGATATGCGCAGTCAGAAATATATTATTCGCTTAATGACTGTATTCATTATTTGCAGTAGACTTGAATATCTCATCGGTCATTTCATTGTCAATGACACCTTTGCAATATAGATTAAATATATATATAAATTGATACAAATATTGGTACTGAAAATTAGTAAATTGATTTAATTTCAAGTGAGATCTGCTATCTTTACCGAAAAATCTCTAGAAGTGATTAATTGTACAAGTTAGCCTTTGAGATGACTGACGGTTATGAAACAAATACCATAAAGATGCCTCAGTCCATATAAAGATGTCCCAGACATGTTACTTAAATGTTGGTTAAGTAACTGGAGCTAAAACGGCAGTCAGCTCAGCCTGAGAGATTGAGTTATGTTGATTTCAGCTCCTCTGCAGTTATGTTTTAAGTTACTTTCATGTAATACGCAAAGTGTACTGCCGCTTTCAGATCTATATGCATGCAATGAAATGGGCAATTAACTAAGATGTTCTGGGAATTCATCTACAGTAGTGTCGCATTGTAATGGGTGCAGAACGAGAAGCATGGAGCTTTTACCGCGTACATTGTGCTTTCCACAAGGACTAGCGCAAGGTAAACAGCATTAAAATTCAGACAGAGAGTAATTTCAACAACTTCTATTTACTAAAAAAAACGCAGCGTTTATAAAGCACGATAATGTAGTTATTTAATTCATTAAGGCTATAAAATATCTTGGAGCTGCACTGAACTACTGCATGCTTATTCCTCGGAAAACCTACAATTATTTTAAGTTCCAGTATCTTTGGAGAGACTATACCAACGCGGTTATTTATTTAATTTAAAATGCAATATTTTGAACATTTGTCACTTATGATGAGCAAAATCTGCGTAAGATTGTTTCATAGTAGGTGATTTATTTATATTTTATCCATAAAAGATCTATCTGTATGCTTACAAAAGATTTAGGATTTAATTTGAAAAGGCCATATGTGAGACAAAACCATCTGTGATATCCGTGAACTGTAATACTGCCTTCTACAGACAAGGGTGCAGAAAACTGTATCTTTTTTGTTTAAATATAAATTAAATAAAATTTCATCAGAAACTTTGTCACAAACGCGCATTCCATCTACAAAGTCTAATGCATCTTTTAGGTTATAGTTATCAGCGTTTTAGGAACAATGTTTCGAAAACGTTTTCTTGTAAACGAAAAGACAAATAAACCTAATTAGATGGAATTCGGAGGTTCTTTCTCAGATTAAATATGGTGAAATATTTTCAAAATATTCAAATTCTGAAAATGCCGCTAATTTTGGAAATGTTGCGAGCAAGATGGTCTAGTAATATTTCCTGTTAGACACATTCTGTAATAATTTTTAATCCTCCCGAGTTTGCAGTATATTCTGAAAGGCAACATTTAACTGTGTTTGTAACATCTCAAACTTTAAAGGGCAATCTACGTGGAAAAAATGAGTACTAAAGATTTCAGGATCATTGCTACTTTCCCGTGAATTCGAATATGATTATCTAAGTGCTTAATTTTTCTATTATTTTTCTTAATAGCCTTTTAGTTTTCACTAGGAGTAATTGTTATAAATGTCTAAAAGTTACCTTCATCTAAATTCCAATTTATAAATTGGAATCATTTCATTGCTCTTTCCTGACGTCATTTAATTTTTCTTTCTGTAATATCTGTACGTAGTTTATGAATTTAGACTTTATAAAAGATGACAAGGCCTGTAAAACTATTGTGTTGTTATTTATAACTGGTGTATTCTTGTGAATTAATCCATGTATATAATATTGACTTCAAAAATAGTGCCGTTGGTTTGTGTTTATGTGTACACATATTTTATGTATGTAAGCTAATGCCATATGAAAGTTAAATCTAGTCTCTATCTGGGGCAATTTACATGATAACTTCTAGCTAATCTAAAACTGATTATTTTTCTGCTTTGTGAATTCGGGATACGCGTAAGTGGCACGTTAATGAAAAGTAGTTCTTTGATGTGTGAAAGGAAATAGGAAATTTTATCTTTTAACAAAACAAGTGAAGTTAAATCTAGTCTTTTGTTTGTGACTCGGGTCCACAATTCGTTCTGTCAGGAATCAATAAATAATGGGGAGTATTATATATATATATATATATAGATATATAGGTGTACAATATTCCCGTTTATATTTGTTGTTTTGTGTGCCTTTCGGAATGGTATCACTTTCCATAGCGTAGAGCTATGTTTAATTCAGGAAGATCTCTTTGGGTGATTTTATTATCCAAATAATCGTAGACCTAACATGAAATTATATTTCCATGTGTGGATAGCTGAGTGATATGGCTTCATAACATTTAGTGCTATTGGAACATACACAAAATGAGAAAGAATCTTTCGGATAATTTTCATGTAAAATATAACGACTATTGAAATAAGATATATATTCTCCTTTTTCGTTGCAGTTCTGGTATTGTCATTTAATAGTAACAATTTAAGGTTTATATAGCTAATCATTCATTTCAAGCGTAAATTTCTATAATTTTAGCAGTATTGTTAAGTTTTTATTACTGTCCATAAACCTTTCTTACCCGATAAGCAAGTTTGAGACCTGCACTATCAGCTAGATTTTCTACGTGCGTCTTATTCCCATCTACCTGCGAAAGATAATATTGCTTCAATAGATAAAACTTTTTCACATAAATTGAGAATAAAATTTCAATAATAGATAAAAAAGAATCACAGGAGAAGATATGATATATGATATATTTCTCAAAGTAATCTTTTTTAAGGTTACGATTAGCTTGTGAATGCTCCGATGCATTTATATATAGATGTGAAATTGGGAAGATTAACTGTATTTTTTTCTGACACAATATTAGTAGAAATACTTTATGATAGCACTAAGGTGTAACGTGAATGACACTTCGTCAGATTATAATTATATATGCCATGGAGTTCATAGTGACATTTGTGTCATGTTATTTCCCAAGCTTAAATTCTTCATCGAAATAAAATCAATCACATTTTGCATTGCAGAAACTCAAAATTGTAGATAGCTTATAATAATATCTTAAAACTGCATCTTAGAAGAATATATTTGATACAAATCGTCAGATGCAGCTGGCAATATTTCATATAAGCAGCCAAAATATGCCACAATGATTGCCATTTTATTCAACGGCAATGAAAAAGGATTTTAAGATTTTAGAACTTCGAATTGCATTTCACTGCACTTGCTCCATCTAGCTCAGTAAATACCAACTTTAACTGAAAACTTTCTATATAAACTGTTCAACATAAATATCACTATGATATCACAAAAAAATGTTAGTTCGGCCAACAAATGTTTGGTAGATTTTCATTGAAATCTGAGACATGTTCGTCCTTGGAAAGATTATGAACGAAGGGCTACAGCCACTTGTGACACTCATTTAGGTAGTGATAGTAATTGTAAAGAAGTTTAGGTTGCTATTTGTTATTTTTATTTCCGTCCGTAAATAACTTGAGTTAAATAACTGAAATCTGATAATATTATATGCCATTACATTTTATTACATCATCCTATCAATGTATCATCTGCACTAATTATCCTATCAGAAGTATATTTCTGATATCCGTAATCTCATTCCTATAATATAAATACATTTACAACATTTTTCTTATGAACCCGAATACTTCGCGAATAAGTAAATGAATTTTTGTATCCTTATTCGAAAAAAAAGTCATCCAGAGCTTTTCTGACCTCATCTGAATTGAAGGAAATCTCGAAGCTACTACGGCTGAAATTCTCTTCGACAGAAGTCGTCAGTAGTGCATACTAGATAACTCTTTTCTATCATTAGAACATAAGAAACCAATTCTATTTCAATGTTTTTGTTGAATATAAATAATTTATGGTCAGTACAATTCGAGTAACTTGACCTAGTGGCAAGTTTTGTTCTTGACAGAGCCACTGAACTGTATTACGTCGCAAGATGAAAGAATTAATCGTTTCTAGAAAGGCATTTAATTTCCTTGCAGCCGGAATAACAATTAAGTATCTTATTTTAGCCGGATTTTAACACCATCGCATTTTATTCTCCTTGAATTTAAATTTAAATAGATAAATTCATTTTTAAAGAATATACTGATTCGCATAATATGTTAAAAGTAAGACTTTTTGGGGGGTAAAGTAATTAACCAGGTATTGTGATCCAAACATTTACTTTAACTTCTTCTTTCTGTAGACTTTATTAGTTGCTGTGTACGTAACAAGAGGTTTTGAATAACAAAAGTTTTTATAAGTTCAGTTTCTGGCAGCCTCGCATTGTAGTTACGTACTAGCTCAAGCTCTGCAAAAGTTTTATTTCGGCTCTAGCATCTTGCTAGAAAATGTTTAAAATACGCACCGTTAATTATATTGCTCTCTCCTAAAGTAGTCTATTTAGTCAGATTACGCTACGTATAATGAAATTAATTCATCCTATGTTGTTAAATGCTCGAAAGTAGCGAAGGTTCATTTGTAGCACACTTAGCTCCTTCTGTTCTTTCGAGAATTAATTAAAAACGTTATTTTAACCTTCTTAAGACTTGGACATTTAATTCAGACTAAAGCATGTCAGAAAACAATTTAAATTTTAGCCTACTTCTCGTTCCAAGACTCAAGTTGCTGCGCTACCAGCACTCCTATTGATGGATTCGGATTTATTGTGGACAGTAAACCTACATCGATAATACATTATCGAGTAGTTTCGATGGTAGACGTTTGGGCCTGTCTCTTATTGAAAGCTTAGAAACGCATATTTTACTATATCCAGTTGGAGAAACACAAAATTTGGATATTGTAACCACTGCGCTACGAGGTGAAACACAGAATTATTGGGAATATACTATAAAGAATTCAGGAAATGCCTGAAACCCTGTGCCTGAAAGACAAAAAGTTGCCATTGCCACGTCTGCACTAAGAGGACAGGCCTCACTATGGTGGAAGAATATAGGCAAATTTTTATTAGGGGAATTCGGAGGCCAAACATATACCTTTGAAAATTTCAAAAAATCATTATTAAAGGCCTTTCCCATAGTGAAAGACCGAGCAAAGCTAGAAGCCGAACTGTATAGTTTTTATCAACGTAATATAGAAGATTTGACGGACTTTATTCTGCGAAAAATTAAGCTGACGGATATGCTGTATGGGAAGAAACCCGACGCGGAGATTATTGAAATAATCTTACCAAGATTGCTACCTGCTCAAGATTACTTCGAAATTCGAAATCCAAGCACCTTGCAGGAACTCTTCGAGTTGGCGGTCAAGTTCCAAAATCGCAGAATAGCGGAAAAAGCTAGAGGGGCATCGTATTCTCAAGGTCTCCGAAGGCAATCCTCAAATCAACAGACCAGAAACACAAATCGCTCTTATGGGGGAAAGAGCTATCAAGCTAACTCATCGAAGCTCGAAGGTCAAGGCCCAAAAAGGAAATTTGAAAACAACCGTCCGCGTACCCAGAAGACTGAAGTTGAAAGGAAAGCTTTAAACGAGTAGAGGGGCCTGTAAAAGCGAGGGTCCAGACCCCGGAAGTTTTCGAAAAAAACCCTCAAGAAGATACCTAAATACGGTCGTGGTAAAGAACTCACAATTACCCGATTATACAAGTCCTGGTTGGCGATGTACCAGTAGAAGCCCTCATCGATACAGGGGCAGAAGGTAATTTTATGAGTGATACATTTTTCAAGAAGAATTTTAATAGGTTTACGATTATTTAAAAATAAAAACACAGAAATTCATAGCGGCGCAAGGAAAAACTTGTCAATGTATTGGGAAATTATCATTAACAAATACAGGTAAAAAAATGAAAGCCTTAAAGTATTAATTTTTGTGGTAAAAAATTTGCAAAGTCCAGTTATTTTAGGCATGGAGTTTTTAAAGGCCGCGAAGGCCAAACTGAATTTTCAGGAAATTCGATTATGCTGGAAATGGATCGGAGGGTGGTGGAAGCCAGTGGAACAACCGCAAGTAGACCTTAGCCATTTGAATGACCATGAAAGCCAAGCCATCCAGCAAGTGGTGAGTACTTTTTCAAACTTGTTTTCAGAACGGCCTGGTAACTGTCAAATTGTTACGCATGATATACAGTTAACTGCCGACAAACCCTGTAGGACTAAACCTTACCGGTATGATAAACAGAAAGAACAAATTATCGAAGAACACATTCAGGAAATGTTAAGCAGAACCAGATAATAACGCCCATAAATAGTGAGTACGCGAGTCCAGTCAGTCGTACTATGTAGGAAAAAAGAACGAGTTTCCCTCCTTCGGATAAAAGGGCTTGGAGGTTTGCTATCGATTACAGAAAACTAAATAGTATTACTAAATTCCCAGTTTACCCTTTGCCGGTTATAGAGGAAATTATTAGAAAGATTAAGTCTACGAGATACATGACTACGTTGGACTTAACGTCTGGCTACTATCAAATAGCTATGAGACCCGAAGACATACATAAAACCGCGTTTATCACAAAATCGGGCACTTATGCATTTTTACGCATGCCCTTTGGGTTGTGTGGGGCCCCGTCAACATTCCAGAGAGCTATGGACATTGTTCTAAAGCCTGTCCTAGGAAAATCGACTTTAATCTATCTAGATGATATAATTATAACGAGTAGTACGTTGGAACAACATATTAAAGATTTAGAAGAGGTTTTTAAAATTATTAAAAGAGGCCGGTCTTACAATTAACGCCTCAAAATGCAAGTTCGTGACTAAAGAACTTAAATATCTGGGGTATAAAATTTCGCAAAAGGGTATAGAAACTCAGGATTCAAAAATAAAAGCCATCAAGAATTTCCCACCTCCCAACACCGCCAAGAAACTTTCTTCTTTCCTTGGGTTATGTTCTTATTATCGGTCGTTCATAAAAGATTTTGCGAACATTGTTGAACCGTTGTTAGTAATTAAAAGAAAGAAAAGTAAATTTACGTGGACAGCAGAGGCAAATACTGCATTTGAAAGGTTAAAAGAAGCACTCATCAATGCCCCTGTTTTGAAATTCCCGGAAGGGGACGAAAACCTGGAAATTGCAGCAGATGCGTCGGACTATGCCGTAGGTGCACTTCTCATGCAAAATGGCCATCCCTTGGCATTTTTTAATAAAACTTTAAACTCTACGCAAAGGAATTATACAGCTACAGAGAGAGAAACATTAGCCGTATTAATGGCTGTACACAAATTTCGAGTACGCTGAGATATGTGTTAATGAACCAGCATTTGGACCTATATGATACCCGAAGAAGTTATAGTAAGGATTGAAATCATAATAAAATGTTAATTAACATACATAACCATGATAGGTTTCAACCAAGCCTAAGTTTATGAAATATTTTGTGATGTACTACTTGTGCCTATGTCACTATTTTATACACTATGGACATTAGAATCCAACACATCAAGTTTATTATAAATATTTCTACCTATTTTCAGAGTTTTTTAGGTGGTGGGATGGGTTATTTTTCTAAGAGATTTGAACCCACTAAAATTGGTGATAAAATTTACAGCTATTCAGGTATTCTTCTCTCATTTCATTGTCTAGAACTTCTGGAAGTTTTAAAATGTGGCGTTGAATTAACGTAACCAGTGGTGAAATATTACTGCCATGTCAAGTAAATAAGTATAATTTTAAACTATTTTCGAATAATACTACATAAAGGTCCTCGTATTCTACTGCAGAGTTTTAACCGAAAATGTATGTGTGGAATGAAAAAAATTAAAAATATGGAAAGGAATGGTATTAATACTGCGTTTAAAACGTTTACAGTACCAAATCATATTAGATATCAAAGGAAATAGAATTTTTTCTTTAGAAGTGATGATTTAGAAACGGATATAGAGATTGAATATAATCGGATAGAAGATCTAGAGATAACTGGCGGTTCCTTGTGAAGAATTAAAATATATAGCAACTTAAAATCCAAAATAATAATTACAATATAAAGCATTTAATAAAGGCAATATATTAATCCTAAAATCGTAAATGCATTTATTCAGTTTTCCATTTTAATCGTAAATATTCCTTCCCTTCAAAACACATATTCACAGCAAAATTTTCTTAGTGTTTTCATGCTGTAAAAGTAGTAAAAAAGGGCCAAATGTCCGAGTAAGTGTGGTAGCCTTAAAGTTTCGTTTCCTCGATCTCAGTAAATAAAACAAAATGATTTTGTCGTATTACGTTTACAGGACATTACATAAATGTAAATGCTACAGGCAAAGCCTTAGGTCCAGTCACTTCGTGAGATGATTGCTTATTTCTAGATCTGACCTCATGATATATTACAAAAGTCAAACTATTTGATAATATAATTAGCATTATGGATTATGGCTTCTCAGCTCTAGTTTTGGTTGGAATAATTTCTCGTCGACACTCCTATTTGACCGCTCAGAACCGATGTGAACGGTATTTAGTGAAATAATAAGATTTTCTATAACTATGATGTATAAAAATTATTAATATTTATATTAATACAGAAAGAAAATGGATGAAAATGCAACTCACCATAATATCAACGTTATTTTTCGGATCCTTATAATTTAAATAAGTATTATACTGATCTATGATACACTCGGTTTTCGCCTCGAAGGTATTTCTTGCGAAAAAGCTCCACCAGTCAAAACGCTTGCCATTTACAAAATATTTTCGACCTGTAACGGTATCATCACTATTAAAAACGATGTTGAAATAACATCATTAACGTTTTATTTTGCTCCTAATTTTTTATTTCTTATGTAGTTGCATAATAACACTTTTAATAAACAAATGTTTTCTGAAATAAATTCAAAATTAAATCCGAGAAACACGTTAGCAATATGTTTACAAAACAAAAGAAGTTTTAGTCATATTTATATGCAGGAAAGGAATGAAAAATTCAAAAATAAGGAATTAAAATTTAGTAACTGTACGCTAAAGTGATGCTACAAATAAAGTAATAAATTGCAAGAATCTTTATTTATAAATGGCTTGCGTCAAGGAAAGTACAAGATAAAAAATCTGATCTGTACACCACATGACTTCCTTCTACGGAATATTAAATTACACGCAATTTTCCTGCCTTTCATTTAAACATATTGAATTAACAGTTAACGAATTTTGAATTAAATCTACTCCGCCGATAGCGCATAAACCACAATAGAATAAATGCACTCATTAAAGTTCATTATATTTATTTACCATAGCGACATTACGTTCACTACGCTATGTTCACTTAACAGCATTGACATTCATTTTATAACTCAGAGTGCACAAAAATTATATCATCTGAAGAATTATCACAAGTTCTATTCAAATACTATAATAAATCTAAAACGATGTTTAAGAAATTATACAAATAAAAAACAGTTTTTCTAAGGCGATTCAGCGCCGCTTGACCTAATGCGCATGCGGGTATTAATTAACTCAGTTCTCACTTCGTACCAAGGCAAAAATACATAAAAATTCAAAATATTTTCATTAAAATTTGAAAGATTTAGAAAAACATAAAACCCCAAAATCAGTTAAAACAATGAAAAACAACAATTTTTAAAATTAAAATTACGGTTTCTACAACAAAACAAGCTAAAAACTTAAATGTTAATTTTAGATTAATTCGCAATAACGAAAGAAGAAGTTAATTTGTCGTTGCGAAGTTTAGTTTCTCCAAATTGGCAACAAATCCACTATTCTGCTAAGTTTCAAATGTAAAAAAACATGGCTGTCATGGTAATCAAAAATTAGGTTTACCCGCTCTAAAAAAACTTTTAAATTGTTGATAATTCCACAGTTATTGCATGCAGGTTAACTAAAGATTTAAAAATCTTAACCAGAACAGCATAATTCACTCATTTTTAAAGGAAAAAAAAACCACATAAGAATAAGGCAACTGAGTTCACTGAGCCGAGTAACAGAGTGGATATATATACATATATATTGTTTAAACATATATATATATATATATATATATATATATATAAGTATATATATATATATATATACTTTTGTTTCGTCCGATTCCAACCAAAATGCGAAGTGCACATCTACATGTTATAGCAGTCCCATGTACAAATCAAAGTCAAACGTTGGACAAAATCCAACGTTCTGAGGCTACTTGTTTTTGAGTTATGTGAAATACGTACGTACGTACAGACGCTAAGAAAACACCTCTTCAGAATTCATTTTAAACCAGTTTCATAATTTTTTTGGGGAAAAAGAGTCCTTCAATCTGTCCTTGTATACAGATGTCACGTACAAACATTTTTAAATTGCATTCGATAGCAGTCAAAATGGATATTTTCGTTGAAATATGATATCCGAAATTTTTCGCGATTACAATACTTCCTTTTTAGTTACTTTTATTTTTACAAGGAACTAAGAACGAAAAATGAGGGTTATTAAAATTGGAAAAGCAATACTATAAAAACTTGAATGATCAAATAAAGCTTTAGCTCTACGTCTGGGAGCAGATCCCAGGTTCACATCGTTAATTATTTTCTGAATTTCTTTTAGACTTTTTTAGAACATAATAAAGGCGAACTAAAAATAAAAACTTAAACATTCCAGACATTCATTGCTTAATCAAGAATGGGGAAAAGTGTTTAAAAAAACATGCTTTAATTTGTAATGAAAAAGCGTATGCATTGGTTTGAATCTAATGTGAAGTAAAACAAAATGTACATTTAATTTGAAAAAAGTTAAATAATTATAAAAAATAAAATAATGGTCACAATTGAGAGAGAAACGACTTTGTGCCAAGCCTAAAAAAATTAGTGATAAAATGAAAACAGTATCAGGAAAATAAATATTGAAAAGTACCTGCAAAATTCAAATCTAGATAAAAAATTATCTGCTAAATTCCCCTGTAACATTACATGTGGAAATATAATTTACGTTTTTGTTCTGAATTGGTCTTTTACTAACTGTGCCCATTAAATTCAATTCCTTCCTTTAAATTTTATTTCTCTAGAGATACTTTTAAAATCTGTGTCACTGACATTGTTTTTTATTGTTTAATTAGAATTATTTTTCGCTTAGAAAATTGCATTTTTCTCTCAACTGCCATTTTTCATGGTCAGTTTTCTTACTAAGGTAACCTTTTTCCACTAAGATGGCTTTACAAAACTTTTTTAAGTCCAAAGGGGCAATTTGCCCAGAAGGACTATTAATTTCGTTTTGGCATTTTACGTTGATTCGCTATAAACATTGACTCACTTTTCAAATTGTTGCCACCAAATATCCCCTTCATTCTATTTAAAGAAATTAAATAATGAAGAATCTTCATAGATGTATGTATGTTTCTCGCATTGTGATAAAACAAAGGTACCTAGAGCTATCCAGTTTTGAATGACGTAATCCTACTGCGAATATGGGCATCTGGAAGCCCAAATTTGAAATTTGGAATTTGTTTTATTATCGATTTCATATTTCGTAAAATGTTAACGAATTTTTGATTAAAAAACTCAAGGATTTTGCAATTCTGTACAGAAAAAACACTTTTATTTCCAGCGCGCGAGACTGTGTATCAGAAACTCTCAAGATATGCTTAATTTAAAATTATTTTTATTGCTGTTGAACAGAATTTTATGGTTTAAGTGCGAAGAACTTTGGACGTAAGTTAAAATCTGAAGCCTTTCAGCTTTTTATTCTTTATTTTATTTTTTTGTCTTTTTCCTATTAATATTTTGTGTTTAAACTTTATTTATTAAATAACTCGTTCTTGGTGCTTACTCCACATAAAATTCCATTCAAGAGCACAATATCAAAATAATTAAAAAAAAAAAAAACACATTGTCACCGATACACATTGTCCGATACACATTGTCACGCGCTGGAGATAAAAATGTGTTTTTTTTTTCCCGTGCAGTGTAGCCATTTAATTTCTTTAAATATAATTTACGACAATAATATTTAGCGGCAATAATATAAAAATTGATTCTGACTTTTATCGTGATTCAACCCAAAACGCCGTTTCGAGACTAATAGCCCATTTATGCTAACGCCCCTTTTGGGCTAATAAAGTTTACATGTGACCTACGGAGGAGATATATATTAAATTGCATTTTTTACAATTCCGTTCAGGTGGGTAATTTCTAGAGATTCGACTTTAATGGTCTGGGTTTAAGAACCCAGACCAGAATTTATGGTTTACAAGAAATTTAAAATTATTTGGATTTAAATATTAAGGAATATTCGGTTTATTCAACATTTGTTTCTGATTTCATATAATTGAATTTTTGTTTTAATTTATGCTTAATTTGATTTACAATTTATTAATGCCTGCACAAATTGATTTTTTAAACTATCTACTTTGGACGACGGAAAATCATTACTCTAAATAATTTCAGTTTCTTCCAACTTTGCAAATATTTGCTTCAGTTTGCCTAGAGGGAATTGAGAACGTTACAAACGTTTTGCTTATAATTTCAATTTTTAGCTTTTACTGTTTCTTTCACACACATACGTGCACACTTATACGGACATACATATGTATTTGCGTCAACAGGTAATGTAAATAAGAATAAAACAAAACTAAAATTCATTTATTGCTCGCTTATAACTACTGTAAGTAGTATAACCAAACAATGATTTTAATTTAAGATATGTGCAAAGCATACACTGTGCCTTCTATAAAACCAGCTCATGTAATATCTATAAACCAGCTTTAAACCATACTTGAAAATTGTTTAAAATCGGGAAGCTTTATTCAAAACAGAATTCTAGAAGGAGAATTTTCATATGCCTAACTATCGAGAAGCAGTCACAAACATTATCAAAATTATTAAAATCATAGCCAAGAGTTAAAATGATTCGATAATTAAGGAATACTGATTAAGCGTATCCGTCCTTCTAGAATCTAGACTATTTGAGAGTTAATTCAAATTTACTAAAAATTTCCACACTACCTAACCAATTCCCAAATAGTCTAGAATAACACATTGCCGCGATAAATTACTCTTCTAAATTTAAAACCTGTTTGCTTAAAATTAAAACATAAATTTTCGAAAAAGAAATAATTGTAATTAAAATTTAAAGACAGAATAAGAAATACAATTCATAAATCTAGAGCAAAATCTCGCCTTAATGTTACAAATAATTACAAACAAAAGTAAAGAGATCACAAATTTGCTCTCTAATGGTTTAGAAGAACGGAAACGCTTAATAAATATTACTTAATTATTGACTGTACTAATAGGAGAAGGTTGACGGCCTCTGAGGAGGTTAGTCTGCTGAGTTGGCCTTTCACTGTGCTGATCGCAAAAAGCCATTTTTTATAATTTCAGAGCCATATGTTGAAACGCGAAGATTTTGCTTACGTTTTGCCCACATTATTGTATACATAGGTTGTCTCAGTATCAGGTTTCAGAAATTCTAGCAGGGGTAGAATGCACTCCGATGATTCCTAGCAGGGGTAGAATGCACTCCGATGATTCCTAGCAGGGTCAGAAATGACGTGCTCGTCTACACAGAAACATCAGAAATTAAGACGCCATATACGTTAATATTCGTATTGATAATAAATTTACTTGAACAAATGTAACATAAGTCAAACAGAGTGTTCGAAGTTTCGTCCACCGACTTCAATGCACGCCTCATATCTACGGCGCATGGAATTCGGAATATTCTCGAATATTCCAGCCAAATCTCGAACTTTCTCGGCAGCTATTGAGATCGTGCAACCAGCTCCTAGGCTTTGTCAACGAGGGTGTCATAAACCAGTGCCTTCATGTGCCGTCATAAAAAGAAATCAAGACATGATTCACTAAAATCAAGTCTGGTGATTGAGCAGACCAACGCATCGGACCACCGCATTCAATCCTTTGGTGGCTAATTCTGACCTCTATGCGGGTGCGAAAGCTAAAGGTAAAATGGGAAGGGGGCCCGTCATGTTGGAACCACACTGTATGTCCCATCGATTTAGAAATCCATTCCTCATCTAATAGTTGTGGCAAGACTTGGTGCAGAACGATCAAGTAGTTCCATTCGCTTAGATAAAAAGGAAGCAAGTAAGATCCGATAAAGTGATCCCCCACAATGCCGGCCCATCCGTTTATAGGAAACCGACTCTGCGCTGCAAGACGTCGTGTTGCATAAGGGATCTCTACCGCCCAGAAATGGGCGTTATGTTCATTGAATATCCTTTCCCTTATGAAGGATGTATCATCGGTGAATAACACATTAGCAGAGAAATGGCAATATGTAGCACACTTTCAAGATACCACTGTACAATTGCAATACGGGGTCGTAATCGCCCGGTAGAAGTGCCTGGATACGCTTGATATGATGCGAAAAAAATTCCGCATCAAATGAATTTCGTTTTCTCTGAGAATCCTCCAGATGCTGAAACGGCAAACTCTGACTGGGTGCGCTACACTTCGTATGCTCAAACTTGGAGTCCCCTGTACCTGATGTAGCACGTTATGTTCAATGTCCGGAGTCAGTGCTGATCGTGCCTGACTATCATCATCGAGACATTATGGCTGGGTGTATCCTCATAGGATATCGTTCTGCGTACAAACGCTGTGGGGTTGGCCCAATACAGTTTACAGCCCCCATATACCAAATGCATATCGGCTAACTCCAAGTTCGTGTAATTATTCATCCTACCTTGTGAGAACTATCCTACCTGCTGCCTTGTGATAAATAAGGATTCTCGGCAAGAACTCCCGGAACTTTCGCACAATACTATCGACCGCGTCAGAAAAGCATTTCAGACCCTGGATTGCTATATGATTCCGAGTCGGAGTGCACCCTACCCCTCCTAGAAGTTTTAAAATGTGGTACTGAGACATTGTAGCGAAAATTGTTCCTCTCGATGGAGCACATCATGGCTCAATGGATAAGACTTCGAGGTCAGAAATCGAAGGTCCCGAGTTCAAAACTCGGCAAAGTCACCTAAAATACTCACTTCGAATAACAAAGTCTTGAGTTGAGACTTGTGTACTTTCCTCTTCATTTGTCTTAATACGACCAGTTCGTTTACGAAACAATACAAAAGGAGAGAGAGTTTTGATATAAGTAGTTTACCTTTATTATCGAAACCATGCGTAATTTCATGACCAATCAGAGAACCAAGAGCTCCAAAATTCAGATTCCTGAAATAAATGTATTAATCACCAGTATAATTTTCATGTATTCCAAGATCATTTTAAACAAAGACATGATTCCTTTTAGCTAAATTTAAGTTGAAGTATGTGAGATTATTAATAACTTACTTGGGTCCATTTTTGTAGAAAAAGATAGGTTGTAAAATTCCCGCAGGAAATGCTGTAAAAGATAATGCTGCAGATAAAAAGTATACTAATAATAAAAAGTCTCTTTTAAGCCACGCATAAATATTTTCTGTAATACAGTCGCAAAAATATAGCATTGCGTCGTTAATACATCCGAAAACAATCCAACTTTTAAAATCAATCTTTTTCTTTTCTTCATAGTTCTCATTGCTTATTTATGATAAATCACATACAGAATGCTGATGTATGCAATATGTTTGAGAAAGTCACACATAGTATAAGATTACAAATATCAAGATTTATAGTCAGTTATTGCCATTTAAAATTAGTACTTTACGTAAACTTTCTTCAGCATGCCTAAATAATAAATTAAATTAAAAAGTTTATCAAAACTCATTTCAAAACAAAAGAACCGCTAATATTTAAAAAGTAATGCAGTGAGCTGCGAATGAATTTAGGCCATTATGGGAAAAAACTTTTGATAGACAAGTCATTTAAAGCAGGTATTTCTAAAATGAGAAAATTTTAGTTTTTTATGAAATATTAAGAAATAACATTTCTTGTATTTTAATGTGTTTTACATTAAAACTGAAACTTCATTCTAGTGAATAAATAGATATTTTAATTTTTTATCATAAATAGTTTACATTTTTTTATTTAGTAGCAAAAATGAAAAATTAGGTTGTATAAGGATCATTGTTCACTCTTCAATTATAATGGAAAAGTATTTACTAACTTACTACGTTTTTAATTTTAAATTATAAACTCATATTATTTTCTCTGCGGGGCTTAAATGAATTAAAAATGGAAATTTTAACTTTCATGAAACGTTAATTCAAATAATATATTATTATTGAAGATGATAAGGACACAAGTAAAAACCGTATATATATATAGTAAACAAATATATTATCTATTAAGCATAGTTCGTTGGGAAAATTTAAAGGAGCTTTATAAGCTGTATTCACTTAAGTTAGTTTAAGATGATTAATTTAAATTAAATTGCAGCTTTCTATTTGTAGTAGCTGTCCGATATAGAAAAATTCCGATTATACTTTCCAGAAATATAAAATTTGATTAAATGAAAAGTGTTTCCCAATTTCTATGTTTCTTTCTGATACTAAAAATGCTATTATCTAAGAATTTTTACATATTAGGTATAATTAGAAAGGAAGCTCGAAAGAGAAGAGAAAAATAACTTTTACCTATACTGTTATCTTTGTTGTTGTAAGAGTACTCAGTAGAAATTGCGTTTGCATGTGTTTTCCAACTGCAAATAAATATGTATCGATAAAAATATAATTTCTTTGCTAATAGAGACAGTATTTTATGCATTAAGCCTTTCTAAGTATTGATTAAAATACAAATCTTCGAATGAAATATATCTAACTGAATAATGCTATTTTAAATTAACTAAATACAACGTAGCAGATAATACAAATAGAAATGTTCTTTAAAGTCAATAACTATAAAGATCAAATTAAAAAGAAAATAATTTAAATAAACAAATGCAGCTGTACAAATTCATAAAGCCTCATGTAATGCATTTTACTAAGGCCTATGTATGTACACACAAACTCATATATATATATATAATTTTAGAAAGAAATAAATGCAAATAAAACTTTAAGAAAATATTCGCGGAATATGCTGGAAACATAACAAATTTTGCAGTCCTACTTTACAAATCGAAACGCAAATATATGTGAAATATCTCATCAATAATATTGAAAATAACGAAGAATGTAATTTCAATAAACGAAATTATAATTATTGATGCATTTGGTATATTTTAAAGTAGATATAAGTAGTTTTTGCATGTAAATAGAGGTGGACACTGTAATGACACATGTAGTAAAAGTTTAACTTGACACATGTAGTAAAAGTTTAACATTAAAATTCTGAAAGATTTCAGATTTTACATTACCCCCAAAGGGGCATTTTTATAACATTTTGTGTGTTACCTTTATTTATTAAATATCATGTTCTTCGCACTTAAACCATAAAATTTCATTTGAATAGCAATATCGCAAAATATTTAAAAAGAGTATATCTTTAGAATTGACGATACACAGTTCCGCGCACTGGAGATAAAAAGGATTTTTACCCCCAGTTCAGTGTTGCCATTGCTCGCTTTTAAATGGTTGAGATGTTAATCAAAAATTCGTTAAAGTTTTACAAAATATAAAATCGATAATAAAACAAATTTCAAATTTGGGCTTTCAGATGCCCCTATTCGCAAGAGGATTACGTCATTCAAAATTGGATGGCTTGTTGTTTTATCACAAGGCGAGAAACATAGCTAAATTTATGCAGATTCTTCATTATTTAAATTTTTTAAATATAATAAAAGGCTATAATAGCTGGTGGCAACAATTCAAAAAGTGAATCAACGTGTATAGTGAATCAACGCAAAATACCAGAACGAAATTAATAGTCGTTGTATGCGAATTGCCCCTTTGGACTAAAAACAAGCTCTAGTTTTCATTGATGTTAGTTTATAATTGGCTAATTCATGCAGCAGATATACAACAATACTTTTAAAGAAGTCAAAATGAATAAAATGGCTAAATGGATATGCTAGATTGCACAAACAACATAATTTTTAAAGCAAATCATAAGAAATAAGATAGCGTAGTGAAGGTTGTAGACAACAGATGTCATATACTACAACAGCTTTCTCTTAAAAATCACCATACATTTATGTCTTAGTTGCTAAACAACATACTATATATACAACAGGTTTCTGAAGAAAGCACAGCAAGTGAAGTGGGTTAATGAAGGTGCCATTCAAAAACTATGTTTTATACTTCATAAATACAACGAGAAAAATTGAATCTAGCTCCTATCCATGGAAATATATACAGAAAATATATGCATATCATGGAAATATATACATAGAACTGAAAACATTTTATATTCAGGTAAAGGAAAAGAAAGAATTGATCGAAAATTTCTAATTTAAAAATATTGTAATTCTAATGCAGCATAGACATCCAATATCGTTCTTTCAGCAATCTGATCCTGCATTAATATTCTGGCCCAGTCTACTTTGCAGTTGAGCAATATAATCATAATTTTGGTAGCCAACTGCTTCGGATTTTAATTTCAAGAAACCCATTACTAATCTTCGTAGAGTCTGAATACATTTTGTGCCTCATAGTCTAATAATTTTCTTTGTCTTTCTAACTAGTGAAGGTTGGAACATTCTTTCAGGCCCAACTTAAATGCTGTTATGGCATTTATAAATGCACGATTTACGAGTAATTGCACAATATTATCAAAAATCTTTAATTTCTTTAAACATAGTTTATCTGGTACAGTCAGTTAAATGCATAAATGCTTAGAAATGAAGCCCTGTATACGCTATGTATTTATCTTATCTAAGTAGTGACGAAATATAAACACCTTTATCTGTATTCTCACACTTTGAACAAAATTAAATGGCAATCAAAGAGGATGTTGAAAACAGAAGCTAAACTAGCAATTTAAGTTGACTTATTCCATACACTGGCAGAAGCGTATTCGTGGAAGATGCTTAGTTTTACATGGACATACCTAAATATTTTTGATATATCCTTGTATTTTATATGGCTTAAGGCTGTAGAGGCATTAGGTATTTTTTTGGAAGCAGGAGAGATGAAAAATGAGCACCCGCCTTCGCCAGGAATGGAACCGCAGACCTCTGAAATACGCGTCCAGCGTACAGAGCACCACACTAGGAAGGCATGCCAAGACGGCGGGAGAAATACCTTATATACTCCCTCTTTTAATGGGCGAGTGGGGTTGAAAGGGACCCAATCGCCAAAAGAGTGTGTGTGGAATCATCATCCACCACCCTTTTAGTTCGGTCGCCACTGTAAAGACATTGATATTTTAGAAGTAGGAAAGATGAAAACTATGCAGCGCCGTCTCCGAGAATCGAACCGCGGACCTCTGGAATACGCGCCCAGCATACAAACCATCATACCACGAAAGCATGTCAAGAAGGCGGGAGAAATACCTTATAAGACCTTACTTGTAAATTACCTCCTATATCTTATGTTTCTAATTGTAAGATATTATTATGTCGATTTTTGTTCTTTTATTTTTTTAGTGTATTACTTTATTTTTACATAAAATAACCAAGCAAAATTAAATATAAAAAAAATTAGGCAAAATGGCAAACTTACTTTTGTGCAGATTTTTAATAAACCTATTTCCATAAATAATTCTATAAATTATAGAACGGACAACAGTATTTATTGAACAAAATCTATGCCAATATGGTTGCAGCTTTATATAGTTTTAATATTACACTGGCTTGTTCTCACCTTATTTAAAAGATAAATTATGTTTGTAATCAAACTTACTCTTTTTCTGCATTTTTTTCCCTATATTTCGAGAAATAATTGTCAGTTGACCATTTGCGCACTTTCAAAGCTTTATCAAAATAGCCCTCATTCGTAAGGTTTAACTGTAAAATAGTCGATAAAAGATTATAAAGTAATTACAGTCTTATTTATAAATGTCTGGAAATCTCAATCATAAATATCTAAATACTTACACCAACGTACAGTTTGGACATGATAACGTCATCGAGGAGTTCGTTCGGATATCCAACATATGGTGTTATTGCATTGGCCTAATGCAGTATAAAAAAAATAAGATATTTCTCTCACATATTACAGTACACAATACAGTTTATGATGCAAATGCATAATTTTTAACAAACATTTTTCGAAGTCTGTTTCTCATCTGTGTATGTAAAATACACAAATCTAGTCTACCAAAATTCGAAAAATCAAATTAGCAAATTGGAAAGTATAAAAAAAGAAACAGGAAAAAAATAATAAACTGCATTTGATTTTCTCATCATATAAGAGAAACAGTCTAACGATTTCGAATCAGAAACAAATCTACATTTATTAATACATTTGAAAGTCTTTGTTATCATTCTCAAAATTGTGCCTGGGCAGAAACGTTTATATATTATTCTTTTAAAGTCCAGAAATTAAACTAGATCAGTTCGGAGTAATACACCGAATAAGCAGAAAGTATTTTGCAATCTAGAATGTGGCATGTAACTTCAAAGTTATCTTTCCAAATAAAACTATTTATTTGAGTGTTTTAATTAATTACTTAGAAGCTATTATTTCACGATACACCCGCAATAAGAACAATTTGCGTCTTAGAAAACAGCTCGTAACACTAATGTGTAGCACAAACTCCAAGCAAATGAGCCTTTATTTCAGGAGTTGCATGTTAGTATACCAAACGTATACCCGACAGCAATCATTTCCCATAAGTTCTTCGCCATACTTATATAAATACGCATTCAATTTAAAGCCGTGGCCTCATAATTTTCAAATTGTGAGGCAAAACTCATGAAACGTATCAAAACACATTTATAGTTTTCTGATTTTATACGAATATAACTTTTAAAAAAGTTGTCATAATTCTGAATTTAATTTGTGTTCATTTTCATTAAAAACTTGTTTAACTAACTAATTAAAAAAGAACTTAAGCATATTTGTAAAACTTGAAGTAAAAGTACCTACTTGTTCAATAATATTCATTGAATCTTTCCGATTCTAATGTGTCTATATAATCTACTAAACTACATAATCTACTAAAAAAAATCGTGTCTACATAATCTACTAATCTATCAGATTTTTAAAATGAATTATTTACAATAAAACAAAGGTGGCTGTTAATTTATAAACAGGAGAAGCGTTTCTGTAAGTATGATTTATTTTCAAATGTTTAAAAACATTCACAAAAACGAAACTAACAACTGTAAACGATAAATCGACAATTCATTCATTAGCTAGGTAACGCAAATTATTTAATATACAGATATAAAAGGAATATAAAAAATCTTAATTATATTTATAAGGTGTAACAGTTATCACAGTCGGCGCGTATTCGAGAGGTCCAGGCTCGAGTACTGGGAGGACAATGCACATTTTTGATGTCTTCTGCTTCGAAAAGTCCTAATGTCTCTAGATAGTATTTAATGCAAATTTGTCAGCAGAGAGTTTTGCCAGAACGTAACGGTGTTTTATTTAGAAAAACAGCATAATTTAGCAGAAATACTTAATATATGCATTCATTATCTTATTTGATACAATTAGGTAAGCTATTTATTTAAAATAAAACAAGACTCAAGAAAACGTATTTAATATTTACATTGATTAATTTAAAGTAACGTAACAAAAAACGCATAAAAATTATATTTGTTATTAAGCACATAATAAAATTCTATGTATTATTTTATTTAGCACAATTTTATTGTGTAGAAACGTATTAAAACAGCATATATAAACCCACCGGAAATTTATTTGCACAGAATCTTCCTGGTGGGCACAGTTCAGCAATTGCTGTTATAATGTCTCTGTATCTTTGTCCATTGGTGAAAGATTGAATATAGTGATCATTTTAGAAAGAAAAACCGCTATATTGCCACAATGTTATTACGAAACTCTAGTTAGATCCATAACTATTGTTTCTTGCACATGTGCAGATCGGTTTCATTTGATTTATTTGATTATGGCAAAGCACTGGAAGGTATCAGCCTAAGAGAAATCATGCTTTTTTGAAGGACTTCCTAGGGTAACTGACTCATTTGCACGTTATACACGAGAAAACCCACGAAAACGCTTTTGTGGTCAGCTCAATCGCCGTGATACGAAACCCAGACCAGACTATCAGGTATTCAGTAATCTAACCGCTTAGAGTCTGGCGAGCCCTAGCAGAATGGTTACCATTTGCTCCTCGCCTAATGTAGAAACGTACGAAATTCACTTTCATGCCATGATCGTCCCAGAAGAAAAATACAGAACATTGTTTTAAATATTATACCGAAGCAAAATAAATATATACTTTATATCTTTAAATAGAGTAAGGCTTATGGGCGGAAATATATTTCTTTGACTTATGGAATTTATGAATTTACGAATTTGAGAAATTAAACGTAAAGAAAATAATTAAATTTTACAAACCTTATATTTTGCGATTATTTGAGTTACATGATCCATCCAATGACTTTCATCTATAGAATTTAATAATTCAGCATGGATATACGAAAAAATCTCTTGTGCCTGTAAAAGTTAAAAAAATAATAAAATAGCGCATTTCTTATTGTAGCAAAACTGGCAATCTGTTACTTCACATAATCAATTCACTTTGTCAGACAAAGCAAGTAAAAATGTCATAGCATATCAAACTAGTATTAGGTACTTTTTTTATTGCGAAACATTACTTACATGTCACTTAGACAGTACAACTAAAAATACAAAATTACTATGCGCATTTCATAAACATTACCATTCAAATCGGCATCCATCGTCATTACTCTTTCGTTGCCACTCGCGAAAACTATATTTTAAAATAAAATCAATGCGTTTCGTTTACACAAGTAAAATAATTCTTCATGAATCTAAGATTTTGAAAAAAAATAGATTTATTCCATAATACATCCATATTTTTCAAAATCTTCAATGATTGCGAGCGCGTATCTGCAATTAAGCGCTCGATCATGTCCGGATTAGTGACGAGGTTATCACACTTGGCTACAGTCCCTGCTAGACGGGACTTTTCTGAGAAACGAAGATTCTGGTAGCACTGGTTTAAAAGGGAGGATTCCTAGAAAAAAAGAGCTCCGTCTGAAGCGAAGTCCCGCCTAGCCACGGAAACGATGTTGCGGCTTAGCAGGATTTTTTTTCAAACCTCACTTAAAATGTCTCGACTGGACATCTGGGTGCAGACAACCAATCAGACGAAAGCTGTGCTTCTGAAGCATCACGAAGACTGTAGAACGTGTGTTCTCTAGTCACGAGGATATATATATATATATATATATATATCACTGATGTCATGAACATTGATTTTAAATTCAATAGCAAGTCTAAACAGCTCAGTTAATTGAAGCTGTGTGTGTATGAAGGTAGAGTTCTAGTCGTTTCCTAACTTCAGCGTTTATATAAATCTACGATATTCCAAACCCTCTAGTCTCGGAGTTGTGGATGGAATCCCTCTATCAATCTATCTGAGCTGTTATATCCTTCTGATACATAAAAAAACTACATGACTGTTATCTGAACCATTTTGCCACAATGGAATGGGGTACACATAGTGATCATTATATTTCGAATTTTAAAGAAGAAAAATTATTTTCTATGTTTAAGGCGTCTGTCCTTACATTTTTGACAAACAAGAAGCTCATTCTCCTTCTTCCTGTGCTAAGGACTATTTTATTATGCTATAGTATTTAACGATCAGAATAAACGTATATTTTTTATTCATCTATCCTACAAGGTGGCATGCAATATGGACTAATATTTTTGCTTGCTTTGAATGAATACTTTTTATTGTAAATTAAATTTTACATAAAATTTGCTGACTAATTTAAGGATTATAATTTGTTTTATGAATATGTTTAACCATAACCATCCAGAAATAATTTTGATAAGCAAATTAATATGTTATCTAGTGACTCTAATTAATGTATTTATCCAGGCCATTAAGTAGTAGTATGAATGAAAACGATTTTAGCTTCCCTCTTTTATCTGCCGTTTATTATTGTGGGAATGATTAGCTGTTAATTTTATATAGAATATTATAAATCTATATAGTAAAATATCTCATCAAAATATTTTGTGTAAAATTAAATAAACATATATTCTTAAAATTAATTTTGTATAGTAAAAAAGCATTTAAAAACTTCGTATAAAAATGACACAAAAACACAACGTACGGTAACGTTTGTATAAACAAATTAATTCACAGAATACTGATAATCATTTTCAATTTAATATCAAAATACATTCCCTTGAAAGATTACTACTAGATAAGATACTTTTTTTGTAACTTTGCAGTTTTGTTTCATACAATGTAAACATTTAACCCTCGTGTGTACTAATAATTGCTAAAGTGAGTATATATGTAAAGTATAAAAATTTGTAATTTGTGGTCATTTATCTGCAGAGAAATATACACTATTTTGTTAATTAATAAATGCTTAGTCAATGAACATAGCCGCCTTTCGTATTAAGGTTACTGAAAAGTGTGTTACGTTTTAATTCCAACGAATAAAAAAAATATGACAAAGTACTCTGCGTTTTCAACTGAGCAGATCTCTTAAGAGCATAGGCATTAAGTCAAAATTATATACAAATAGCTATGGATATATTTTTATACTTACAGTTTGCTTGTTCTCTTCTGGGAAATACTGCCGTACATAATAGGAACTGATTGCCAATTCAAATGTGTCCTTCAGGAAAGACAAGCATTGCTTCCAACGAGGTTGCAATTCTGAGAGTTCTGGTTCATGTTTTGTCCTAAGAGTTAAAGTCCTCCAGGACTTGGACAAAAGGGGCAAAGACTCTTGAACAACTCTCCACATCATGTAATTGGCTATCACACTGAAAGATATAAACAATTTCAAAATTATGACAACTAATTTGTCTTTATTTTATTCTCTGAAATATTTTTTTTCGCGGGCTTAGGAAGTTTTTTGACCGACTTTGTGAAGAATATTACAAAACAAATATATCTTCGAAGCAGAAATATCAGATTATTGCATAAGTAATTGCTAACTAAAAGGGGCACAGCCCACAACCTAACTAACCAAAACCTACGTTCAGCCATAGTGCTCACATAGTAAAGCAAAGCAAATAAAGTAGCAAAAGTGCGATGAAGCAAATGAAGCTGAGAAAGCAAATGAAGAGCTTCAGGGACAAAAAATCTTAACGTTTCACTATGACTTGGCATTTGGTTCGTGCACTTTCTCGTATTTGATTATATAAAACATATAACAATGTAATTTGTAAATATCGGGACAAAAAAGTGTTATGATCTAATAACAAATTAATATATGTAAACTGAATTTAGAGTCCATTTCAAAAGTCTCTAAATTCCCAAAATTCTTAGAATAATTTTTACAAATAGTACAAAACCTTCTGAGTTTGGAGTACCTATTTTTGTTTGCTGAATAATTTTTAAAATGTTCAAAGTTCTTGAAAGTTACCTCGAGGTCACATCATAACTTTGACAACTTTCAAAAGTTTTAGAAAAAAATCTAGTGTTATAATCAATATAAAATCAAAATATTTCTAGTATATATTTACGACAATGTATGCTACGTAGTATAAAACAAAATGATGTGATCTTATTGTAGAGCAATTAATACACAAAAACAAAAAAAATATACAAATTATAATAATTAACTTTGATGAAAAACGAGCAGATCTTTAACAAGCGAATAAACATGTAAATAGAAAATTAAGAGTGAAATTTATTAACAAATTAAACTTAATTGAAAAAAAATATCAATATTCCTTTAAGTCCTAATCTATATATATATAAGCGAAATACTACTGACTCATCACGAGATCTCCGAAACTATACACCCGACTGACTACAGTGTGCCCAGCAATGCGGACGGGTATCAACTAGTTTTAATTGTAAAATAACACCGTTCATTGCATCTACGCTGTGTTAGTTCTAGAATAATTCATGATCATATGACTCTTATATAATGCTGGTGGATAGAAATTGAACTAAAACAGCCAGTAGTAGTTTTACAGCTTTATTAATTCTAAAATCAAATACATTGAAAACCCAAAATAATTCATTCTGAATTAATATTTCTTCCTGAACACAAGTCAGTTGCTTTCCGCACTTCAGCCTAGATAGACTGCTGCTTTTTGCTTCTCAATTTATCACAAAGATATCCGAAATGTCGTCGGGGTTTATTTAATTTAATTAAAAGTTAGTTCTATTTTTTAAGTAACCTTTCCTATAGCTCTGTTTTTACCTCACGCTTTTTTGACAAAATTTCAATTTCGCGCATTTTGCAAAGTATGGTAGAAGGCTATTATTTAAGCTGGTGTCTGAGTTACTTCAGACTACTTCTACTGCTCTACTACTCTACTTCAGAGAGTGTTCTGTCTTTCGGCCACGTTGCTTCTCTGCTACCTAAGCCTGCTATTTTACGGCCGTGCATATTATTTGCCAGTTAGTCTACGTGGATGGTAGGGCCAAAAGCCAAAAATGCGTTAAAACCTTTACCTACGAGAGCCGTGAAATTGCATTCACTGAAGTGCGATGGCAGGAAGAGAAGAGAACAAGCTTAAACAACAAGTTCTGTGAGCACGTATTATTAATTATATATAGCAAAGGCGAACGCTCCCAGAATACATCAGAGCCTATTCTCTTCGGAATTTATTACTAAGAAGCTGGATATCTTTGCAGAGAAAGGCAGGTTGACTTGTTGCAGCAAACTGCTGGTGCAGTGCAAGAAGAAACACCAACTCAATACCTTTGCGTAATGCAGTACAAGAAAACTCTTCCTACTCTGGGTCTGTCCTCGTTAGAACTGCCAGTGGAAAGAATTATATCATTGTCTTGTAGGAAACATTTCCATCTGGAACGACTGACGACATCGGCCAAGCTATAACTGATCTGGAACCTTCAACCACAACCGGATAATTTTTTCCTAAGAGCTATGAATAATAGAACTATGAGTTGTAAATACTGGATTACAGACCAGCAGCTATACTGCTAAATTATATATTTCTACTGTGTGCAGATTGGATTTAGCTCCTGAGTCTTCAGGCAGTTTCAGAAAATAATACGGTGCATTAACTACTAGAGGCTAGGTCACTATAGTCGAAATTTGCAACATTCCGCCATAAGACCGGGAACTGGAAGCAGTGACCCTGCGGGCCCGGTCAAATTGATGGGTTGAATGAAAATAAAAAGCTGTCTCTGGTAAGTGCGGGGCTGATGGCAACAAACAGGTAATAAAAAATTAAAAAAAAAAAAGATAACCCTACGGGGACCTTTAATCTGATTCCGCCCCTGCCTAATACGGTGATCTAAAGAAAATGCAACAGTCCTTTTCAAAATGGGGGTAGCACGAAGTTTATTACAACACCGCTGGGATGCATATAAGCATTCTGTATCGCGCCACGCACATAGGGAAAGATCCCTCCTCGTGATTCGATATGGCTTCTTATGACATCATTTGTTTTTCGCTTAGAAACTCGTTGACTTTGCTTGGGCTCGAGGGTACACCTCCAAGACGTTTCTTT